GTCCGTTTAGATCGTTTTTGTGAGCATATACAAGTTTCTTTATGCTCTGGTTTTGATGTGTGCGTGATGTGGTAGGGTCTAAGAGGTGGCGCAGTAGTTGCCATGTGCGTTTGCTGTCAAGGTTTCCTTGCATGCTGTCACACACCTGGCCCCATTGCTGGCAGGCCAGTTGTGTGGCGTACTCCTGGATCTGCAGGTCAAGCTTGGCTATTCGGAGTTTTAGCTTTCGGTTGTGCCGTCCTTTTTTCCATCTCTTCAAGAGAGACTGTTTGGCTTCCCACATATGTAAAAGCTTGGCATCAACCGTGGTGAGGGGGGTTTCGGGGGGCAAAGTTGTAGTATGCACCCCAGCATCTGAGTGAAGTTGCTTCACCCATTCTGAGATGTCTTGGATGTTTCTGGGAGCTGATATCTGGCGGGCCTCTCGAAATTTGTCCCAATTGGTGTGACTGATTGGCTTAGGTGCGAAGGGTTTGTGCTTGAAATGTACTGTAGTAGTAATGATGTAGTGATCACTACCGAGATTAACTTGCAAGTTGCTCCATGTAACGTGCTGAATTCTGCGTGTAAGGGTAAGATCGGGAGAGGTATCTCTCGATACGCTGTTTCCTAGCCTGGTTGGTGCATCGACGTCATTATGTAGCGTGAGTCTGTGGTCTTGTATGTGTATCCACAGGGCTCTGCCCTTAGGAGTAGAAACAGTGTGACCCCACAACGGGTTGGGTGCATTGAAATCACCAAGAATTAAAAGGGGATGGTCTTTGGCAGCGGAAATGGCTTGAGTAAAAAGGGAGTCAAAGCGGTGATGTTTGTCTCGAGGGCGGCTGTAGACATTCAGAAGGTAAAGAGCAGATGTGTTATTCTTATGAGGAATAATCTCCAAAAAATCATGCTCTATATCGACGCCGTCGAAGTGGGAGTGATTTGCAGTGAGGTGTTTTTGAGTAAGAATTGCCGTATCAGGCCGGGACAGCTTTTTAGTTTGGTGGACATTATAACCTGGGAAGCTGACTGGCCCGTGAGTTTCTTGGAGGGCAATGACTTCGGGTAGATTAGAACGGGAGGCAAGGAACTGTTGCAGATGTGCTTTCTTTTTTCGGAACCCCCTACAGTTCCATTGCCAAACCTGAAGCTCGGAGCGAGTCGGGTTATTGGCCATTGTTAAGCGAAGCTGGTGCTGAGGTGGAAAGTGGTGCTATGCTAGGATTATTGGCACTAACTTCAGCTATCCAACTTGTAGTTTGTTGGATATGAGCTTGCACAAGGTCCATAAATTTGGCGAGTGCTTCATGTTTGGCTGCGTAATCTGCACTGAGTTTTTCAACTGCGGTGAGTATATTATGAAATTTAGTTTCTAATGCGGTTATTCTGTCATTATAATTTAAAACTGTCTCCTCCAGGGATTCTTCTGATCGTGGAGTGCTCGGAGTTTTACGTTTGCTGGGGGGAGGGAGAAGTGGTTCGCGTTGAGCACAGGGGCTAGTGTCCATGGGCAAATGTGCAGAGGGTTCAGGTGGGGCTGATGAATGGCACATGGAAGAGGCGGAATGAGAGGGAGGGGCTTGGGTGGTTGATGCGGAAGGAGGACGAGAATCAATTTGAGTGGTAGTAGCGGATAAGTGAAAAGACTCGAGTTGTAATTTAAGCCTCTGAATTTCAGCTTTTAGGGTTGCATTTTCTTTAAAGAGGGTGGAGTCGTTGTTACTGGTGTGATTTGAGGAGCAGCTAGAAGAGGCTGACTTAGCCCAGCCTACCTGGTGTGAGTTGACCGAAGAGTTGTTGAGAGCAGGGCTTGGTGATAGGCCTGGCCAGGCGTCGTCTTGCGTCGTTGAATCGGAGCGACGACCGCGATCTTTACTTTTGCTGGCACTGGAGCGTCGCCCGCGTTCCTTGCTTTTGCTTCGACTTTTCCGCCCGCGTTCCTTGCTTTTGCTTCGACTTTTCCGCTGGCTTGAACCGTGAGTTTGTTCGCGACTAGGAGATCGGTGGATGGGTGGGTCTTGCTTTTCCATGGACCGTGTAGGGCGCGGCTTAAATCGTTGTCTACACAGCGATGAACCTGTTTCATGGTTTCCATTGCACACAACACAAACATGGTCACACTCGTGGTCCATAGGTGCATCTTTTAGTCCACATTTGGGACAAAGTGTGTCACTGGTGTTGGTGCAGACGTCTTGGCGATGACCAATCTGACGGCACCGTGTGCAGGCTTCAACCTTTTGCCTGAAGGGACGACATCGAAGTGCACAGCCGTCGTAGTGGACGTAGTAAGGAACGATTTTGCCTTGGAATATGATTAGAATGGTTTCAGTGCTGCCCAGGCGTCGTGCACCTCCGATAGTCAGCTTTGGGTTGCATCGGCGGAGGGTCGAGATGATTTCGTCTTCCGAGTAATCGGAAGGCAGGAGAACGGTTCCTCTGCAGGTATCGACGGGATCAGCGACATGGGTGGCGACTTCATGAGGGGTGCCGTTGAAGTTCAAGAGCCGTATGCCATGGTAGAGGTCGGCACGATCCAGGTCTGGTGTGCTGATCAGAACGGTATGGTTGATGGAGTTGACGCGTATTTGGTCAGAACTGGTGCGGTCAGAGATTGGGAGACCCGCCGCCTTGAGGATTATTTGTCTGAGGACGCATGGATGTATCACAGCACAGTTTAAACCTCCACGGACTCTTAATATGATTTTGTAATCACTGCGCGGCAGTGGTGGGGGCTTCGGTGCTGCTCTTGATTGGCGCTCCTGAGCCACTGCATGGCTTGGTGGTGACGAAGGATGCTGGCGTTGTCTTGAGAGGCTCTCGTGGATCGCGCGCCAGGAACGCGCACCATCGACGCCGGCTGCGTCGCGCCCTGTTCCAGCGCTCATGCTAGGGAGAGGTAGGCCTAGCAGCGATACTGCTAGCCGACAGCCCTAAAAGGGCTGCGGCTTGCGTAAAAAACGTCTTAGTATTGAAAAAGTATCACAGGAAGCGTCGGTAACACTCACATATAGGTCCAGTCAAGTATTCGGGGCGTTTGGAGTGATCAGTTAGCCACAAGAGGAAAATTTGCAGGAGCCAAAGTCACATGCGACCGCTCACCTCCGCGCGCGTCCCAAATCCCTAAAGGCACCAAGTCTGCCAGTAGGAGACCCTCGTTATTGAATAAGGGAAACAACTGTATACTTAAGGACTCGTTTTTCGTGTTTACACAGTATTAATGAGATCTTACAGGCAATATTGCCAAGGAAGGTATAGGGGAAGTTATTAGGCCAATTGTAATGTAAATGAGAAGAAAGAAAAGTGGGTAAAAAGATAACTCGCCGTGGGCAGGATCCGAACCTGTGAACTTCGAATGACGCGTTTGATGCTCTACCACTGAGCTACCACGACAGCTATCCCCCCAGGCGCTTTATTGGGTATCTAGGTCAATTTAAACGTGGGAGTGTCAGTCAGCGCCACTAGTAGCCATGGCGGCGAGTGTGGCACACTCTTTATGAGCCTGTTTGGCGTCACGTAGAACGTGAACTTATTACCAACTGGCAGCTGACCGAATAGTCCCTCGTATACAACCTAAAGGCACCAAGTCTGCCAGTAGGAGACCCTCGTTATTGAATAAGGGAAACAACTGTATACTTAAGGACTCGTTTTTCGTGTTTACACAGTATTAATGAGATCTTACAGGCAATATTGCCAAGGAAGGTATAGGGGAAGTTATTAGGCCAATTGTAAGGTAAATGAGAAAAAAGAAAAGTGGGTGAAAAGATAACTTGCCGTGGGCAGGATCCGAACCTGCGACCTTCGAATAGCGCGTTCGATGGTCACATCGACAGACAAGATTATATATATATATATATATATATATATATATATATATATATATATATATATATATATATATATATATATATATATATATATATATATATATATATATATATATATATATATATATATATATATATATATATATATATATATATATATATATATATATTCTCTTGTCTTTTTCCAGCTGATGACGTTTCTAGCATGTGCTGCGGCTACTGCTCCCGAAACATGTGCTTGCGTGCTCCCTTCCAAGCAAGTAAGACGTGCAATAGCATTTGTACTCGTGTTCCCTCAAATGGCTGCACGCTGAAGCGAGGAAGCGAGACAGTTTTTAAATGCGAAGCATTTCTTAGCAAACTTCGGCGACTCTGAGTGCATCTATCTAGCCGTTTACGTTTGGGTGCTCTCGTGATCAACCCCTTAACTTGGCGTGAACCAAAATTAGCATGAGAGTGCAAGATTGTTTGGCGAATATGACGCGCTGGTGAAGACATGAATATTGTCACAATCCCGTCGCGGACGTCATCAAACACGTCCCGCCAGACAGTGGCACATACCCACGGGTGGATATGTGCCCCTGGTATGCGGATATGTGCCACAAGTATTTGACACCTAGCATCTACCCACGAACGACGAGAACACAGGTGGGCACTTTTAACGCGCGAGCGTTAAGAAATACCCGACATCGGTATAGCGTCGACCCGACGAATGCAAAGGATGTCAGGGTCCCAGTTGGAGTCGAACCCAGGCATTCTGCGTGGCAACGAAGCATTTTACCACAGAGCTACGCCATGTCTCGAAACTACTTTTCATATAGACCCTCATCTTCATCAAACGTCAATAGTGGTAGTGCTGCCTACCCAAATTTCTTAACATTACACATGTACTCCTTTGATACAGCCGTCACGTCGGGTTAACGTAACGACGGGTTAACGTAACAAGACGCATATTCATGCGTCTTGTTATAACACGTATATAAGAGGCCGATTGGTACTCTGTCAGTTATCCGGTGCCTTTACGCCAATCCGCTAAGCAACTATTTGTAGCCTTAATACTGGTTGAATTAAATGAAATGAAATAAACGTTAGCAGAAGAATAAGCTTCAAGGCAGTCCACATGTTAGAACATTGAAGCCGAATATGCTCCAAAATAGAAAAAAAACAGATTAGGGTGTGACAGCTTTAGCTTACCGCATCGCAGGTACCGAAGGATTCAGTGGTGGCACGTGTCGAAACTGTACGTGAAATCGTCGATGGCAATCCGACCAGGCTGGCCGTTCGTGTAGGCCTCGATGAAGAACTGTAAGTGGGGAAAATTCACCAGTGCCTAAATTGTCTATACAGGAAGTCGCTACAGCTTAGGAAAAGTCATTTGAGAGCGAAAAAGGCAGGGTGCAAATAACAAGTGATAATGATGTTTTCAGTATTACCAGCAAGATTACGCAATCGGCGCGCGTTGCCACATCGTCACGACGCGGTGGCGCGAGCACTCATCTCCCACGCGTACTTTGCCACGCGGAGAGGAGGGGGCAGACGCTCACTCGCGCGCCCTTATCTCGTGGTGGGGAGGATCATACGTCTCGGCTGGCTTTAGGTTTTCACCGGAACAATTCTGTTACCGCGCGCAAAAAGGACACTGCGATCGTTGCACAGTCTCCATTTGCGAAAAGAGCGCGCTTTTCAGATACAGTGACGTTAGACATTTATTCGCTGGTTGGTCGGTCGGTCGGTCGGTGGGCCAGTCGACTGATATGTGGGTTTTAACGTCGCAGAGGCACCATGCTTATGAGGGACGCCGTAGTGCAGGGCTCCGGAAATTTAACTTGCACCTAAATCTGAGCACGCGGGCCTACAGCATTTTCACCTCCATCGAAAATGCCTCCACCGCAGGGCGGGATTCGATACCGTGACCGGCGGGTCAGCAGCCGAATACCTTAGCCACTAGACCACCGCGGCGGGGCGAGACGCTTATTCGCGTTCATCTGTACCTGAGAGTACGTTTCATGCGTGATTTGTGCGTGAGAAATTCGGGGAACGTTTCGATCTGCTTGCCATTCTGAGCATGACCATCCGATTTCTTGCTATCCCGTTCATTGCTTCGCCTTTGCGGCAAAGCTGTCCCTTAAATGTGATGCATTTCTTAGCAAACTTCAGTGACTTTGAGCGTGCCTGCCTCTCCCTGTCTCTGCCTCTCTGCCTGCATCTCTGCTCTGCCTGCATCTCTGCCTGCATCTCTGTCTGTCTATCTATCCGCCTACGACATTTAGCTCTCCTCAACATAGCTTTTGGCGCAAAATAAACAAGTGAGACTGACAAGCGCTTGTCCGTCTCACGTGTTTATTTCGCGCCAACAGCTACGTTAAGGATGAACCAACTCGCCAAAAAAGTCACTTTTGGCTCTCCTGGCCGTTTTGATAATGGTATTGATACCAATTATGGCATACCATGACTGTATGACTCGCATAATTGACTAGTCATAGCACGAAAAGTATGACATTTATGTCATGAAAGTCATGATTTACATTTTATGATCTTGCTGCTCTTGTGGGAGTTTCGTTCACATGACTTGTTGCAAAACTGGTATGGTATGACATGATCACATGGCGAACCTACGTGGCAGACCCTTACGTAGAAATTATGATATGCGTGTCATGATTTTCATGCTATGACTAGTCATGGCTACACGTACGCCATGCTCATGGTGCTCTCCCAGCCATTTCGCAAGCTCCACATATAAGAAATTTGGTACCACATGACGTGAATGGACAATGAGGGTGAATGACACGTCTAAACATAATCATGATATGTGTGCTATGTGAAACGAATACATTCTTTCCTTATGACATGCTCGTGGTACTTTCGCTTGCTTCACATATACCAAGTTTGGTATTTCATGACGCATGGACAAAGTTAAATGACATGTCCAAACGTGATAATAATAACAGGCGTGTCATGTGAAACATGACTACATGCTACGCTCATTGCGCGCTCATAGCCGTTTCGCTAACTCCACATATCCAAATTTGGTATTACGAGGCGTGAATAGACGACGAGGGTAAATGACACATCCAAACATTATACTGATGACATGGAAGTCTTGTAAGGCGTAATTTACGTCCGCCTCGTAACGTTGTGCTCAATTGAAAGGGACATATCAAGCATCCTCAATCATGCATATCATTGATTCCTACAGTGACATGGGATCTGCCATTTTTTTTATTCATACTCTGAGAATCTAAAGTCAATTTCACCATCACGCGTTTTTGTATTAGAGGACAAAATGAAAGTCGAAGTTGAATTTTTTCAATTTCGTACCGAAATCTTCCCGCGTGACACTGCGGATTACAGAGTATCTTGAATTTCGGAGACGTTGCATGCTCCGCAAAATATTCTGAAACTTGGCATACTATAGGCGTACGGTGCCGAAAGAGGTCAACGTATTTCACTTTACATGCTCAGGGAATGCGTAGGGCCTGAAAGACGCCGACAGTATCTATGAAATCATGGCGTTTGGTGCAATAATTGACGTTGCGTTGCCACCCGTATTTTATTTCGCGCGTTTCCTCGCTTACCGAACGCCGTCATGTGACAAGCTTGGCGATTTCGTAATAGTGTTGAACTAATTGACAAACACGAAAAAAAAAATTTCTCTTTATAGTCTCAAAAAGAACTCGCATGCTTCCTAACCTATTCGTCTACAAGATGAATGTAAAGAGAAACGAACGTGTTTGTATTATTTTGCTTCACCGCTAACTGCAACGATCCTTCCCCTTTCCCTTCACCGGGGTTTCTGCACCGCAGGTGATGTTCCTGTGTCCCCGGGATCGGCCCATGCTTGACGAAGCAACACCGTGATGAAGTGATGCGAAGGCACACGACGTAACGAATTTCTGCCATGCGTTATGACGTCATCCGTGATCTCTTGAGGCATTTGAACTGACGCGACCAACGTTCACTTTCCGCGCTTCGTGAGATATCTACGAGGCTTTCGACTCGCGTGAAGCTCCAAACGGCAGACTCACCCGCAAGTCCTGATGCACGGTCATGTTGTGAGTGAACGTCATCCAGGCGGGGGCCTCGTGTCGCTCGAGCGAGAAAAGCGGCCGGTTGCCGATGTCTTGCGCTACGATCTGGATACGCTCGGCGCCCGGACCGTGCACGAAGTACTTCAACTGGAGGCACACCATGGCGTTCGGGTATCCCGGCAGGTAGGGAGTGATTAGCCGCGACACACCGGCTGGAACCAGTTGAGAGTCCACCGCCATATAGCGTCCTGCGCAGAGGCGGCCATTACGATACCTTCGCAAACGATAACTCTTTGCTCGGGTTTCTTTTTTTTTTAATGGACAGTGAAAAGCAGCTTTACAAACATTGATATGTGGGGTTCAACGTCCCAAAACCACCATATGATTTTTGAGAGACGCCGTAGTGGAGGGCTCCGGAAATTTCGACCACCTGGAGTTCTTTAACGTGCACCCAAAGCACACGAGCCTACTACATTTCCGCCTCCATAGCTATAGAAACATGTTTAGAATCAGCCACCACTCTGAAGCGCCCCTGTTGCCACGCAACATCTTACTGAGAGTTGGATGTTCTAAATTCTATAAGAGATCACACTAAACTTCAGGAACTTCAAAGGAGTGGCACTACCATATCTGTGGCTAACGCGTTCTTTGCTGCAAGCGTTTCTTGATAGCTCCAGGAAGCACGATACACGCCCAAAATATTTTATTCTCGCTAAATAATTGAATATTGCCTCCTTTATGTGGACAGTTCACGGTTTCCGTTTCTGTGCGCTGAGTCGGGCAGTGACGTAGGAGCCCAGGTGGCTTGTCCACGTGACCACACGAAGCTGCGACGCACGTCGTGCCGATTATCATCTGCTCTCGCGCACGCTGCAGTACTTGCAAAACGAACGCACCGACAGTTGCCATGTGTAGCTGCAGCAGCCGCAATGCTTTGCTGGTACGTAGGTCCGGAGGTCACTCAACTCACTACTGTAGGCATGCGCACAGGAATGGGAGGGGATTAAGGGGGTGGACACTTCCGTAGTCACCTTTGGGGGAAGTGCAACTGACATAACATAGAACGGTGGGTGGGGGCACTGCGATGAACCTTCGTGCCCCTAAAGGAAAATCCTGCCAACTACCTCTGAAGGGGAAGCCTGCATTGCTACGCTCACTACACATCTGGTTTGACGTCACTACCACTTTTGTTGCCCTTCCAACAGAGTTGCGTCGATGCTGGACGCGCTTGCGACGGACTTCAGACAGAGTAATGGGCACTTGGGTCACTTTGGAAGCGAATTGAATTATATTCTATGCATTTGCTGGGCACACCCAACTTCATACTCTTGCATTTGGTTGTTTTCAATAAACAAGTTGAGAGTTTGCGCCCATGTTATCTCCTCGTCCGTGGGTATGTAGCACAATAAATAGTCATGAATCATTTGGACTTGCGTCAGGCTTTGTGGTTAACGACAATTCTTTGTGAAATTTTGCAATAAAGCGAGAGGGCAGCTCAGTATTGTCGGTGCGATGTACGTGAAGAAAAAAAGAAAATATTCTTTTGGTGCAAACCCATGCAGTCCTTTTAAGAATGAACTATTTAACCCTCGTTCCCGGCGATCCTCAAGTGACCTTGCGAAAAAGCCAAGGCCGTTTTTACGGAAGTAAGCGTTGAGAGAACGGTTCATAAAAATCTCAGCATAACCACGGAGTGAATGATGAGTGGGGCGAAGCGTTCATCCGTCCGTCCATCTGTCCATCCGGTTACGCCTAACGCAGGACAAAGACTAAGAGGAGCTTCGCCCCTAAAAGACATATGAGCAGTGTACCGATGTTTGTCGAGCTAGTGTCCACGCTCGCGAATGCACTCTTTCTATAGAAAGTCGCAGTTGCTGTTCCAACGACGACGACGTCCACCCGTGAGCAGCTGAGTACCATAACCATCAGACCATCACCAGCAAGAAACTTTTCGTGTCAATAAGAAATATTCGTGCATATGACTTTTCTTTACTAACCAAACGCGTTGGGAGACTGCGCTGTTGAAGGGACACTAAAGTCAAACAACAATTGACGTCAGAGTGAAATATCAATGTATGACAACAACTAAAACGACCACAGCATCAATAACAGTGCCCTATTTACTGAGAAAAAGTAAATACACAAGAACACAAGCGCCGCAGTAGGACATTTTCAATATCATCGCGATGACATCAGAGGGACCGCCTACAGTTAATCACTAGTAATCTATCTAACTGAACTAAATAAACAACGTTCCGTGCATTACGAGACGCAATAAAATGCTACCTGTTCGTTTCTGTTTGATTCATGGAAGAAGGAATCGCCGGACGTTACTATGGGGAATGACGCGAGTGGTTCAAAAATTCAATTTTCGCATGGTTACACTGAGACATGTGAAGCCATCTAACGAGGCATAGTTGAAACAAAAACATCTGCAATCTCGAAGTCAATGGCGGGAAATTTATCAATGGCTGTTGCTGCTGTGGCTCCCGCTGCTTTCAGTCTGCTGCTCCTAGCGCAGCAAAGCCGGGCAACGTTGTGCATGGCAACAGTGACGTGAGACGGTCCACTTCTTGAGGCGTGTAATTTGAAGTGCGCTTACCCGATGCGGAGCACTAAAACGGGATTTTATTTCAAAATAGGCGCTTGCTTGGCACAAAAGTAAGACTACGCAGTTTCTGTAACACCATTTCAACAATCAACGTAGACTTAATAGTTGACTTTAGTGTCCCTTTAAGCTCCGTCCTCGGCGACCGACTGAGTCGCCCAGCAGGCAAAGGAAATCGCTAAAGCTAAAAAGCGCGGGCACGTCGCCTAGGCGGCTATATTCAGCAACATCCTCGAATAACTCGCCGGACCTTTTAATAAAGTTCTGTTCGTATACCTAGGGGCAGCCGTTCGAAGTAAACAAAGCACCAGAGCAGCTATCTTTTCAAGCGGATACACTATGTAAATTTGTGATTTCTCTACGGTCGTACAGCGAATCGGGCTAGTGAGAACACCCTCACGACCATCACAGCGCAAAAGGATAAGCTTACTTTGTACTGACCGTCACGAGCTGTCTAGTGCCCACTTTATGGCGAACCATGCCGCACTTACCTTCTCGGCCAGCGATGCTGCCGGAAACAAGCTTGAAGTGCGCTCCGATGTTCTTCTGGTTCCGCATGCCACACGCGTGCTCGTCGAAGTTACACAGGAAGGTCCTCGCTTGACGTCGGACAGCGTGCGGACATGCGGAAAGAACGCGGGCAATGGGAGGAGGCAAATATGATTATATTTAAACATAAGAACGGTCTCGCAGCAAAAGGTGAGGTAATGAATGCAATATAAGCACATCAGATTGTGACAGAGAGAATTTATTAGAAAGCAGAAAGGTCGGCCTGAGCTTCTGCGCTATGACAACTGCGGTCGTACGTCCCAAAACCTCGATATGATTATGAGAGACACCGAAGCGGAGGACTCCGGAAATTTCGACCATCTTCTAACGGGCACTGACATCACACATTAAACGGGTTCATTTGGCCTCCACCATGCAATGTGTGACTTCCGCCCCTGAGATCGAACCCACAACCTTCGCTCAACAAGCGGCCGCCATAACCAGTGCTCCACAGCGACGGACGATCTTCCGCACTCTATACCGCTACTCTACGAAGGGCAAAGTTATGAAGGTGATCGGGAGAGGAAGTTATGCGTATATACATTAACCACGCAGCACAGTGGTTTACTTAAAGTGCACCGCCCATGCAGTGCACTGCAGTACCTTTCAGGAAGTCTATAAATGCCGTTACATGTGTTGCTGAGGTTGTGATAGCGGACAATAGGCAGCCGTCGCAGCGAGCAAAGTCTCCACGCTTTCACTGACTGCTACGCAAACTGCGACCAGAGCACAAGTACAAAACAATAAGCCATTGGTAAATCCCCGCTAGAGAAGCGCGCTGCCACAGGCAAGCACGCCCAGTGGCACAAAGAAACCATCCGGCTTTTATCTCCATGCGCAGCGATCCACGTTGAAAGACGGTTAAAGCGATGCCCTTCTTAGCGAACCCTTTAGGGTTACTGTATATATGATACCAATTAATAGCAGTGTAGCGCGCCTGTCTTTTAAACGAAAGCAGTGACAGTGCATCACGAAGAAGCTAACGTTCGGTCCAATATTTCCCTACGCCGTGACTGCACCGAACTAGATTGATGCTAGTCATCGCCAGCCAAGTTATCGCCCATCGGTGACGCGGCAAGGATGCCAATCGGCAACACGTACGGTGGGCATGTCGCCTGCGAAAACGGAGTGTGGTGTCGTCGCATAAGGAACCGAAGCTCAAGTTTGCGGAGCGACGACAGCGCCACGCCTGGCTGCACCTACGTGGCGCGCAGGCGGAGTCCAGCCCGACACGTGTGCCCCGGACTCTTCGAAAGTACGAAGTGCAGTATCTGTGCGCGAGAACTGGCAACGCTGACACATGTGCTGTGGTCGTGTGACGCGTGTGCGGGGGGAGTGATCACCGACGCACTACCACCGGACATTGTGAACCACATAGACTCGCCCAATCACGAGGCGCAGCTCAACGCCATCCAGCGGCTTGACGCGGCCCTGGCTCGGCAAAAGCGAACGGAGCAAACTCCTAGTAGCTCGCGCTGGGCCTGCCGTACGTTGAGGTCTAAATAGACAGAAGGGTGCGGAACACTGCGCGGTGCTTTCACCCTCTTCACGCAGGATTGCCCAATAAAGTCTATTTCTCTCTCTCTCTCTCTCTTTCTCTAGCCCGGCCGTGGATAGGCGCGGGAGAGGACGCAGACTATCCGTGTGTTTCGCCAAAACGGGAGCGCGTGCGACACGCGCGGAACGCGTTCTGCAGTCGGTGCGGGAAATTTCGAAGCCGTGCCGTCAGCTCGGCGTGCTAGAACGAGATGCTAGCTATGCAAAGTTGCATTTCCGCAATGGAAGAAGCAGCCCCCACGGAAGCACCAGCGAGGTCCGGAGTATTGTGTTGTGGGCTGCCACAATTATGCAGACAACACCACCAACCGCCCTCCACGTGTAAAAGTGTGTCAGTTCCCCTGCAAGTCACAACCGGCGAACACAGTCGCGTTCGCGAAAGATAAAGCAAGCGTCACACTAGTGCCGGAGAAAACAAGGCGAGAATTTCAACTTGACTCGCTGTGGTTGACGCTCAGCTTGCTGCTTCGCGGCGAAGTCAGCGCGTCATGCTCCCGCGGCACGGAGGGCTTGACTAAAGCTTCTCGCACATTTCAATGCCATGGCAGTATAACTTCAGTTTTCATTTTTCAGTACACCAAAGTGCTTGAATATGACAGTACACGGCTGTTCCTGCTGGATATCACATCAAAACAACAAATATGAATTTTATAAACGTCAACGCAGCACATCGAAAGAGTACGCGGATTAATGTCGGCAGAACGAGACTTAGCACGAGGCATACGTCACACACGTAATGTCACGTAGCCGATATATGCATTTTGAAGTGACTCGGACGTCCTCGTCTTCCGTCTTCTGCTCCACATCATAAACGTGACTAACGAGCTTTACTCCTTTTGTGAGATTCGCTTCTGGGAAGTGCTTGGCCAGTTCAGAGATCTTTATGAAGCCGCGCTGCAGGTGGTACATTGTGAGGTGACTCAAACGTAGCGGGCGCTCTCTGCACGAGCACGTAAGCGAGCGGCAGAACGTTGGCGGGAAGGAAAAAAGTGCGATTACATGCCCGATTTTTACTTTCCTACTAAAGATGGCGCTGCCTGTCCAGAGTCGCAGTGCCATCATGCGTTGCTTTGGCTCGCTAGGCGGGCTTACGTTTGGCTAGGCGGGTGTACGCGTAACTGCTACCAAGAGGTATCGTATACAGTAACTACCACCATTAGGCTCTTTGCGCCATCTCGCGTGATATTAAACTGACCTGTGCGACACCATAGAAGCACAGACGCATGCATTGCCAAATGTAAATGAAGTCTAGATGTCACTTAAGGGATGATACGAATAAGGTAAATAAAGTAAGGTGGTTCATGATCAGCTCGTAGAAACTGTGGCGATACCCAGGCAACCGAAAGAGGGTTATGTTTCAGCGCGCATTTGGCTGGTTAAGAAAAGGTGGTCATGAACTGTCGTTTCGATCATTGGACATGCCAGTTGTTACGTCATAGGGAGGAACGTTATCGCCAGAAGTAACGGCGAAGGGCCGTTACTTCTGGCGATTGCATGAAGCCGGCCCGGCAGGGGCCAGACAGTCATTCGGGAAAGGGCGTATGGAGATGGGGTGTAAACAAAAACTTACAAAATTCACGTTTGACTTCTGCACCGATGTCATGAAATTGCAATTTCGTGACACCGAAATTGCAATTTCTATGTCACGAAATGAAAGGTGACAAAAGGTGACGAAAGGTGACATGCGAAAACATTTGAGATCAAAAGGGCTACGTCGACCTTCAGACAGGACGTGACAGAGGTAGCTAGAGAGGGAAGGTATGAGGTAGTCCCAAAGGTCACATAATATTGCCAAACTTCTTCCTCGAGTTTTGTTATCGTCCCATTACACGTGTAAGTGCAGCCTTCCAAAAGCGCACCGATTGGCTAAGTACCATCGAAAGGCTCTCAGAACCTCCCGATGTGATTACGCGCTCAAGGTGAACACTCCAGATTCTTCTGGCACCTTACGCGGCCGCTAGCGATAACGCTGCAATATTCGATGGCACATGCATAAATGCCGACGGGCGTCATCGCTTGTCAGCTTCATCGACGACCGACACTGCATTCACCGATATCAGTGTATAGCGCGTATCACTTTCTTGTTTCTATTTATATTGTATACATGTATATTGCTTGTTTCTATTTTCCGGCCACAAGTTTCGTCAGACACAGCCTTTCATTGCAGACACGCCATCCCTGCATTCGCCAACGTCACGACCACGTGACAATATCGTGCCGCGGGCCGCAGGTTGTCGACCCCTGGTATACAGCCTCCGTTCTTGCCTCAGTCAGTCAAGGTTTCAAGCTGTATAGTCTGATACAGCCCGAGATGTCCTGAAAGGCCAAGCCCAGTGACGAGGCGGGGCACATGATTGCTTCCACGTCATAAAAATCGTTCCTCAGGTTCGCACGATAATGAAGGTTTTTAGTCTGCAGTATTCCGCTAACTTGAAGGCATGGTGTATTGCCAAATAGCGAGTCCCCTAGCTGCCACCATTTAAATTAAGTGTTACCTTCTATAGAAGATGAAAAACAACAAACAAGCCTTCTACGACCTCTGATATTCAGGGAGCACCGCTCGCTAAGCCTACATCATTGACTATTTGTGCAAGTCTTGAAAATTGTGCCCAATCGACGTAAATACTACGCTGTCGAGGCTTAATGACATCTCAAGCAAATAAATGCGTCTGCTCGAAGCTAGCGAGCTACGCAGCACACGACGGCCACTTGATAGAGTCGAGGTAGAAGGCAACCGCTTTTAGCAGCGCGGCCATATTTTCCGGGCACGCGCAGTTCACACCAGGTATTCTGGTACGCACAGTGTGTATTGCGTATAGTGGTGGCGCCGGACATGGAAAAGCATTCAATAATCCCTGAACAGGGTGTCTAGCAAATTATTATTTTAAGATTCCCTGACTTTTCCAGGTTTTCCCAGACAATTTCAAGTGAAATTCCCTGACCTCTGCATAGGCGGCAATACTTGTAAGATTATTAGTGCAGACGACAAAACATTGTTTTATTTAGAGCGCAAACAAATAATTCACCGCGAATTGTAGTCGCTGACTAGAGTATTGCACAAAGTCTATGCAAACACACATCGGCTTCTGCTGTTTGTGTCAGCCACAGCACAAGAGTTCTTGAAGCACTCATCTGTTATGTCTTAAGGGCATCTATTTTTTCTTGCAGGAGACTAGCTTCCGTCAGCGAGTCACTAAGCAGCCTTCGCTTCTTTTCTTCCAGTTCTTTGACAAAAGCAGCCACTCTTTTCTTGTTCTTCTGAACACCTGACTCCACTCGTCTTTCTGCCTTCTTTTTCTGCAGTTCCTCTCTGAAGACGCTGTAGGAATTCCGAACCATCTGCAGCATCTTGTCAGTAATTAGAACTTTTTCCACGCCGCCCGCCGCCAACACGGCATCATGCACCAGTCGTTGTGCTATCAGCGAGTCTTCTTTCAAGTTTTCGACGAGGCATTCTTTGTTGACCGAGAAGCCCCTTTCTACGGCAGCGTTGCCGTGAGCCAAACAGAGGATGATCTTGATAAAAGACAGCAGCTCTTTGTGATCATGTGAGCAGAGATCTGGCCACAGAACGTCCAGCCTCTGCTCTTTCCTGTCAAAATTTTTCAATTTTTCTTGGTTGAGGCTCGATGAACAGACCTCTATGTAAGAACGATGGGCCCGCTCTGCTTGCAGACCAGTCATCCACTGCTGCTCTGACAGCACTTCAAGTGCCAGGGTCAATCGTTTTGGGCCAGCCTCCGGAGACAATGCAAACGTGGGGTCCAAACAGCTGGCACCCCTTGTTAGCTTGTACTTCAATGGTGACCTCTCCACCACCATCTGACAGCACGCTTTAACAAAGGAAACAGTCTTTCTTGAATTGGTGCAAAGTAAGCTGTGGCATTTTGGCCACCTTGCGGAGCTCATTCTTCGCAGCGAACCCAATGTCGAAGGTAGGTACGGGTATACAGTTCTCAAGCTTCTTTAAGTCAATCTTGAGCAACTTCGCGGGTGTGTCTGCAGCAACAAGCACTTCCTTCTTGACAATCCTTGCAAGCAGTGACCACAGTATATTGTGCAGTGCAGTTGAAAGAAAGGGCACCAATGGATTGTCAGTCTGAAATTCTGCCAAAAATGGCTCCAGTTCCTCACAAATTGACAGCATGAAGGCCAGTTTTACTGGCAACAGCTGATCCCTCACTGCGTTCGCAACAGCACTGTAGCTAGAGCATGTAGGCTGCTTCTTTGCCTTAACAGAGCCCTCCACAAACTTCACCAGGTTAGGAAGAAGTTCTAACGCCCTGGTGATTACCTTCCCATTTTCGAGCCACCTGACAGCACAGAATTTGAGGGGAAATAGTGCACTACCTGTAAAGGTGACGTAGTCAGCACGACGTGCAGGCACACATTTGAACAAGTTGTAGCTGCTGCGAAGAAAGCCTATCACATCCCAGCCAGTTGCAGCATGACCTGCCTTGTATGCTCCATTCATTACGTGCAGCCCGCAACTTCCAATATCTAGGATATTGTGACTCATCCAACTCCTTGAGTTCGTCCTTCAGTGACCTCAGGAACTTCATGTTCACATTCGGCCCATCCATTGAAACTTGTATCATCTTGGCTTGCTTGAGCTCTTCTTTGGCCTTCCTGAATGCAGATTCCAGGTCCTCCGCACACGTGTGCCCCAAGAAGCATGAAGTTAGGTACTGCGTTTTCACAGTGCCATCAGTAGTGTCATCCCAATATCGGACGAGCACATCCATCTGTTGCTTCTGGGTCACTTTACTCAGCGACTCGTCAAATGAAACAACTAAGAACGGCACATCGGCAAGGCTTGATAGAAGATTCTTACGAAAGTAAGGCGCAATACCGTGGCAAATCGTATACCCTACCTTGTCCTTCCCTAGATGAAGTTTTTCAGCGACTTCACATCCCGGAAACATGAGAGGGAAGAGCGAGGCCGACGCCGCTGTTGACCGAAAAGATCCGTGAGTCGCTACCGCGCACCACATTATTTCGGCCTTTGTCACAGCGCTCTTCAGAAGAAAGCCGCTCATCGATGTCTTTGCACTTGTGGTGGCCCCTCGGGCGCGACTGTCCGGTTTTCGCTACATTTGGCCGAAGCGTTCGTCGCTGGCGTAAAAAAGGACAACATACCAGTTTGCGAGGCACTCGACCGACACTTCAAACCAGCAAGATGCTTCTTGCTGGACGCGTGACTGGAAACTGCAGTTCCTCCCATGTTGCTTAAAGAAAACGTTTTGCAGCACAGTGTGCAATGAGCACTGTGAGGATCATTCTGCACGGGCTTAATCCAGCTTGCATATTCCGAAACCTTCGGGTTCGTCCAGTCCGAATTAAAGGAGCACTTTCTCGCCGCCGACATCGTCAGTGAGAAGGCTTCTCTTCAGAAAAAACGATGAAAACACACCGCCACGGGAAGGTTCCGTCGTTCAAAACATGGCGGACAGAAGAGGTGGTCCAAAACAACAAAAGTGTATACCCAGCATGCCCAGCGCGCACTGCTCAAGGTTGCCAAGCCACGGAGAAAAAAGTCCAAACTTGTCAACCTTGGCACTACTGCCCCACTGGCTTGGATTGGATCTGTCCCCGTTGGCTGATTGCGCCAATTACGGTGAGCTGAGTGCGCGCTCCGCGCCGGGGAACAAGTCGCGAGTCATTTTCCCTGACTGGGTTCTCTTTTTGGCAGCATTCCCTCACGATTCCCTGATTTTTCCCGGCGTGTATCATTTCCCTGACAATTCCCGGTTTTCCCGGTTGCTAGACACCCTGCTGAAGGTTGGGTCACCGGCCATGCAGTTTATGACGTCTGCCCGGAGTGCGCGCCCATTGGATGCATGCTTCTACGCTTGCATATAGTATAGTAAGAAATGCCGCGGTCTTTTGAAATTTCATTCAACTTCAGGGTGAATTGATCCCCCCTTATCAAAGTTTTGGTGCTTCACCACTGCTTACCGACAGTGAACGGTCGATGAGGGTATCTGTAAAACTCGTGCAAGGGTTGGTACTGCTTAGGCGGGTTTCGCGGTTCGTACGGCGGCAGGCGCGATGGCCTAAGAGAGTTAGGCCCCACCAGGTATTCAGTAGCCACACCTGGAATAAAGAGAACTTATTTTTTAAAAAAAACGTAACAAGGTTGGCTATGTTACAGCATGATTTCATCGACATGTTAGTAGTGCTGAAGAAACAAAACAAAAGTAACCATTAAAAAATGAAAGAATAAATCAGCAGTAGAACTAAGTAAAAATACAGGATCTCCGGCGTACAAAAAATGGGCAGCGGGCAATAAATTAGCAGAGTACAGTGTACAAAGGGTGGTTACGTGTATCACCTGCGGATAGAGCTCGTATAGGTTTTAATCGCACTCACATGAGACACGACAATGAGAAGTTGATTCAACCCATAATATTATGAGAGGGAGCAATAATTACAAGTGTAAGCAGCTCATTAAGCTTGTCTTTATAAATCACGATGACCACTCGCTACGCGTCTTTGGTTGTCAGGATATGACAGTGGTCCGACACTTGGCTAACTGAGTGGCTGTTCAAACGGTCGCTCATTTTGAGCGCGTTCTACGCACTGCGGGCATTCCGTTAGCGAGCCCGTAGCCAGGATTTTCTTTGAGGGGGGGGGGGGGGGGACATTAGATGAATGCTTTGATAAGCCCGTATTTTTATTGAACGTAACCCCCCCCCCCCCCCCGTAGAGCCGAATACCGAGGGACGTTCTTTGATGTGGCACGAGAATGATTCGGCACGAGGCCAGTAATACGGTGTCGGGTATAGTACAATAGTTCTAACCAATAAATGTATAACATAGTTCAGCATTGCGAAAAAATACAAAAAAATAAATAAAAATTGGGATCACACAACTCAGCTGGTTTGGCAGGACTGTTCAGTATAAGGTACAATAGTAAGACTGACTGGAAAATAGTTAATTCTTTAATTTTTCCAATGGTACGCGCAACGGCGTTCTGATGGTTTATTGACAAGACGGAAGGAGAGCAAGTATTTTTTAGAGCGAGCAGTTGATGGGCGTATACTACGATTTTATAGATTTTATTTGTATCTCAATTTTTCAATCACAACAGCGCTGATTTGTCGCTCACAATGTCACCGATATCAACGCTAGAATTTCAGTGAAATGAGCCCTCCATAGTGCACTGGCGCTTGTATAAGTAACACAGGTTGATTTAAGAATGGTAACAAATGTATAGGTTTCGCTTTATTCAGAATGAAATTCTAAATTAACGCCCCGTTATATTGAAGTGATACATTTTCATGAGCACTTATTATAACGAAACATGTTAAAAACATTTGTCTATATGTTCACCTATTCTTTGTAGATAACAAACATGTTTAATTGAAAAGGTTAATTCTTAACCACCATTTCATCAATATCAATAAATGACCTTGTATTTAGTACACTGTTGAGCGTGACCATACTATCTTACTTAGCAGACTGAATAATTTGTTAAATTATAATATTATTGCGTTACGTACGCTACTCTTTCATGTTGACCATCAGGTTATGTTTTACTATTCACAAGAACAAGCATGTGTGCTCATGCTTCTTTAGTAATGTTACTTCGCTGAAGCACAGATTGCACGAGAGTCAGGTGCATGCTAGCGCCTTTAGTCCTGACCCCATCGGCTTTATGTAAGGAAATTGAAATTTTTAAATTAAAGATCGAACTGTGCACTAACCTGTCCACTTGGAAAACGCTATAACGTATGGGATTCAAGTTAAGTTGAGAATGACGCAGCGAGCAATGAAAATAAAAATGATACGTGAAATCCTTGATTATGATTTATATGTGGGGTTTAACGTCCCAAAACAAGTGTAATCATAAACCCTTAGGTCTAATCTTAAGCGACAAGGAGAGCAGAGTGCATCAGGGAACAAATTCATGTTAAGGACGTCATGATTGAAATCAAGAGAAACAGATGATCATGTACAGGGCACCTAACACGAAGGCCAGATAACCGCTGGTCATTGAGGATCACAGACTGAACTCCAAGAATGGGCAAACGGTGGAAGGGGAGACAAAGGTGGGCAGAGGAGATTAGGAAGTTTGCGGGTATAACGAGCGGCAGCAGCAAGCACAGGGCCGAATTGACTGGTGGAACACTGGAGAGGCCTTGTCCTGCAGTCATGTAGTCAGGATGATGTTCATGATGATGATCATAACGTATGGCACCTTTATTGTGTGTGTTTGAGAGACTGCGGCATTAGAATATGCACACTGCAAGGACGTGGGAACGGAGCCTTCACGTCCTGGATGCCAGACGTTGAAGCTTCGTAGTCGGAATAACCACGTCACAGCGACCACGCGCGCCAAACCAACAAACGGATAAAATATCAAACGGCAGCTCGAGTTACCTGCGTCGTTCTGCAACGACAGAGACAGGACTTCACCGTGCACGCCCAATCCGTCCGCAGCGTGGATCTCGTTGGACTCGTCGTTGGTGCCTGGACAGGACAAACCATTGTTAAAAGTCGGAACCGACTCATTCCCTCGCCGAATATGTATGATGGAAAAAAAAAAGATTGAAGGAGGCAATGAGACGAGATGAGTCGAATGTGTAACCTTTATCTCATGGCGCGCACTATACTCAAACTGAAAAGATACAATAGGCGTAATGGGCTGCACAATCAGAATTATTTTGACCAGCTAGAACTTTTTTTAACATTCTGGTGTGCTTACCATTTAGAGGTGTGTCAATATGGCCCGTTCGCTTCTATACACTGTAAGCAAAAGTTAGCCGAGATGGGAGTTTCTCCAGCACATGAGCCCACAAAACTCCCCTGCCCCAATTATTTACTCCCTGGTAGGGAGTGAACTCGGCACATGTCATCGTAAAACGCCCCCTCCTTAATCACAGAGTTTATGAACGACATGACCTTGTTAAACTCCCCAGAGAGTTTCAGGTCACGTGGTTACAAACTCCCTATAGGAGCTTTAAAAACCCTCTTTGGGCGTGACGTGTGTGTGTGTGTGTGTGTGTGTGTGTGTGTGTGTGTGTGTGTGTGTGTGTGTGTGTGTGTGTGTGTGCGTGTGTGTGTGTGTGTGTGCGTGTGTGTGTGTGTGTGTGTGTGTGTATGTGTCTGTACGGGCATATGTTTGCACGTTGATGTGAAACACATGTGCTTTGTGTGGCTAAACGTGTAAGCGTCTGTCAACAGGCAATGAAATTATAAGTGCAGCGAAGAATAGCAACGACCGTTTGGTATTTACTGTGAACATTTCAATATATTTCGCACCGTTAAACCACGCTGCACATCGGTCCGATTCCTCAACGAAACGCCGTGAATGCCACGCTTCAAAGAGCCGAGTAACAAAAAACTTCGAAGAATAAATTAATGGTAGCAAAAGTAAGCTGTTACGATTGTCAGCGGCTGCTCCTCGAGTTTCACCGTCAAAAACTTCGAAGTGGTCTGAAGTAGGCTTCGCTCGACTACGGCAGGCTGGCCGGCAACCGGTCTGAGGCTGCTGGGATGTATAACAGTCTTCTGCGCCTTGCGACCGCAGCTGTCAATGACTAACTACAAGGCGAGCGTCGAACGAGGCGGAGTACGATCGTCAGCGATTGCACCATAAAACTTCGAAGCGGTTCGAAGTAGGCTTCGCTCGACCACGGCAGGCTGGCCGGCAACCGGTGTGAGAGTTGCGCCGGCGACGCGCTCGCCCCGTCTCCGCCGATGGTGAGTTCTCGGAGCGTCACCGGTATTTCACCGGCTGCAACATCTAAGCGGTAGGAAGGCCTCGCTATGGCGTCGGTATCAAGCCGGCATCGTATCGAGCTCACACTGCGCTCCGGCCGCCGTGCATGCGAGCAACGGGAACAGCGACTGCGAACCGTCTCATTCGTTTAAGTCTATCGCTCCGTAGCTTAAACTGCGTGGATTGCGGACACCTATTTCTGTGCATGGAAAAAACAACCAGACGTAAACTGCACATCAGCAAGCATTTTGTGATCGCCAGCTGTCATTCATCGAATCACCGTGCCGTACTCGTGAGTGAGGCCTAGTCGTCGAACGCGGTAGCGGTGGTCTACCTCGGTTCATCGCTGGAGCTGCTGAATGTGCCTCGTTAATATGTTCATTCAAGGCCGCGCGCACTTTGTGTATGATTCAGTGCATTTTACAGGTCCACAAACAGCACTGCTGATGCGAATTCAGCCTGTACGACAGAGCGTCAACTGATAAAACTTTTTCGTTATAGTAAAAAAATATTAAATATTAGGCAGGATTAGGATAAAAGGCATGTGTGTTGAAGTGCTTACATCAGACCACCGCAAGTTCATATTTACGCCGTGCGTATTTATTGCTTAATTATTAGAAAAAAAAGGCTTTCACCTGGGCTACAGGAGGTCAGAATTTGGTGCCTATATATACTCGGCGACTATATGGTAGGTGTGTACTGCGTGTGGCAAGCTGTGGTGAGTGCGAGTGTTGTGATATTACGTGAACGTTGTGATAATGTTTGTGTACTGTAATCATTGTTGGGAGTGTTAAATGTAATGTAATTAAAGTTACGCTTCCGCATGGTACGGCTGCTCACGTAATTTTTTTTCTCGGTCGATGCAAAAAATTTACTCCCATACTGACCTGAAAAAGCTCCCCTATAGATGTAAATAAAAACCCCCCTGGCACCACGCGAAAACCCCCTTCTGATGGGGAGTAAATTTTTTACTCCCTCCGGACGGTTTTTTAAAACTCCCATCTGGGCGTGCGCTAGAGGACAAGGTCATTTACTCCCATTTCGGCTTATTTCTGTTTACAGTGTATTGCTTAAAAAGCGAGGATTTCATGTCCTCAACAGTATAGCGCCGCAAAGATCGCGCTAACCTCCCCGTCTTTCCTCCTTCCTTCCTCCTCCCTCCTCTACTAAGATTGTGCAGCGATTAGTGCAATCGCTAGTTAAACTCGTGCAAAAGTCCCACACTCACCGCTTTGTGTAGTAAGTGCTGTGTCGTCACCATGGATAGACGACGTCTCCGGCACTTCGAATTCATCTGCACCCCAGCAGGAAAAGATAGCATAAAATATTTTCCCAATTTTTTTAATGTAACTTTTTTGCTAGCACAAAGAGTTTCAAAATAGTGGTCCACCTCATGGTGTGACGTCCTCATAAGGCACACATAAGTGATGTCACTGCAGCGTTGTAAAGGCAGCTTGCGATGCCCGAATCAAACCCGCGCCTTCGCACAGCGCAGTACGCTATAAGCTACGACTATACGTGTGAGATGGAAAGATGGGTACAGTTTTACGAGTGCTGTGCTGTTGAATTGCATTCAATCATCATCGATGTTTTAAGAAAATAAATGTATAGTTAGGAACGTATCCGGAAATACGTGTGCCGCTCAGGCGTAACCAAGCCAGAGGCTGGCATGGATGCAGTAAAAGGGCTTCATACCCCACCCCTCCTATTTTTTTTTCTGTGTGCAATTAGTTATTTTCATGCTGAATAATGAATTAGGTAGATTACTCGCACACATACGCACGCTCGTTTCGCATAATTTCGTTTAGTTTATTCGGCACACGTACATAAATCATTAACAGTTGAACCCTATTCCTCACGTTTCCCACTAAAAAAAATTTTACTTGCACCCTGCCTAAGGTTCAAGACTGGACGTGTTGGCGCAACCAACTCTATAGAAGGTTACTGCAGCAATTCAACGTGGCTGAGGACAGATTCACAAAAAACAGCATTGTATCTTGTGTGAACCTTTTCTCCGTGTCCCGTTGAATTGTGGCAGCCATTTCAAGTTAAGCGACTCCCCTGGTGAGCAGAATGTAGCCGTGGCTGCATGAACGGCCGAGTGGTATGAAAAAAAATGCACGTAAGTTAACATAGCGAAAGCTCGTGTGGGCTTGCGCTTTGCGCCATCCGCTTGAATAGATGCTGCATCATGCACGAACCAACATTTACGCGATCGTCGGCGCGAATCAAGGAAACTGAGCCAATGGGCTGTAATATTTTGGGGGTTTTATGTCTCAATGTCACAATACGATTATGGGAGAGACAGTCCCTTAATCTACGAACTAATGTCACAAGGTGGCAAATTGGGCTAGTTGGATTACGTTCATAGCTTAATTTTTTTGTTGTTGTTGAAGCACACTAAAGACGTACGGCAAGCGCTGTCCTTGGTAGCCTCTTCTGTCCATCCGTCTTTAGTGCGCTTCAACAACAACAACAAAAAGAGCTAATGTCCCTCGCCAGCGCTGAGCCCATGCAGTCAGCCGGTTCGCGTGTTAGTGGACAGGGAGAGCAGTAGTTTAAATTGGTAAAAAGGGGGGAGGGTACTATCGGAACGATACTAAACACGATACAACTAGAAAATTGTGTATTCAAAATGTACATGCAAGCTTTGACAGAGCACGTATATAGCTACCTCGCAAGACATTACTCGAACAGCGCCAGCAGTTATGCCTTGAGCATCGTTGCAAGCCGCTTCGTACAATTCCCGCCCCCCCCCCAAAAAAATGTGTGCCAATAACAAACATCAGGTGCTTACCAGGAAGCGGTCCATCGACGACGTCCGAAGGTTCCGGAGGGTCTGCGAATCGCGAAAAAAAAGAATAAGACAAAACAAAGTCAACCTGCAGCAGCTGCAATGTGTCCGGTACGACAGCTGACGCAGTTAGACACGACTCCATGCAACCAACCACCATAACCACCGCCTACAACCACCACCAAAGCGAGGGTTAGTGCAAAGCATTGCGCCACAGACTTGCGAGGAAAAGCACCGGCGTTATAAGGTCAGTGCGGACGCAAGAGCGACGCAGATGTGGAGATAGTCAGGCTTCGCTAGTTATCATAACAGTTCTTATCAGTATATACAACAGACCGCTTGCTTATTAATCGGCATCTTAATATCTGGGGTTTCACTCTCGTAGACCACTATGTGATTACGAGGCACGACGTATAGTACCTCCGGAAATTTCGACCACCTGGTTTTCTTTAACGAGCACTGACGGCACACAGCACATGGGCCTCCACTTCTTCGACTCCATCTAAATGTGACGGCCGCTGTCGGGAGCGCACCCACGACCTTTGGGCCAGCAGCCGAGAATCCTATAGCCACTCATCCAAGAGCGCGTGACTTTGAACGCTGACCCCAACTGCAGAGGCTACATCGCGTTAGCGAAGTTTTCGTTCATGCTTTGATCACAGCGCATTGACTTGCGCGTAATATGAGTGTGTGGCATTACAGCGTTGGTCTCTCCAAATCGTTATGAAAAAAAGTCAGCTGAAGGCTGTTTCACATGCCGCGATTGCAGCGAAAAATATCGTTCCGTTCGCTCCAGTCGCTCTGTTCGCAACCGTCGCTAATGGCGGTTTCGTTTCACGTGGACCGCAAACGGTCTGCGATTTTCGCTCTGCGGCTGGAGCGGCGAGTTCTTGCCACCGATTTTTGTGGCAGACACGAATGTAGTGTAATAATATGTGCATTATGATATCATGAAGTTTTCGTGAACGGTAACGAAGGGCCCGCTTGCTTCGTCAATTAAGAACAGTTTCCAGCCTAAATTGATTTTCAAAATGCCCAGCGTCGGTCATTTCCAAAACGAACACGTCGACTTTATTTCGACGGTTTCGCCGGACCAGCCCTATTTTGACGGGTGCCGACCAAAAATCGCTCCCGCCGCTGCGATCAGAGCGAAAATTTCCAACATGTTGGAAGCTCACCGTGGACCGCTGCGGCTGGAGCGAACTGCCCTTTTTTCGAATTCGCAGCCTGAAAATCGCCACTTTTTGTGTCATGTGAAACGGCCTTGAAGCGGCTGACTGGCCACTGAACACAAGTGATATATGCAAAAATATAGCTGTGCTGGCGCCTAAAACAGCTAATGGCACCTCACGCATTTACTAAACAAGAGCAAGAGATTTGGAGGCGATTTCTTAGTCACAACCGTGCTAAGGAAAACAATGCTTCTAATCTGGTCCTTAGTACGGTAGTGCGACTGGTGTTTCTTTCGATACTTTTTTCGTATTTTTCTACATCTCGATATTTCACTCGCTTTGAAAGAGCTATCATCCTGTGCACTCGTCTTTTCTGTATCATGATAGGGTTACACTTGCTATTGTCGCACTCGTTATCACTCGGTGCAAGTGCCCCATAAATGCACCGGAACCTTTGACTGTTTCCGAATGTTCCAATCTGATTGCGCGGCGCGGTGCAAACAGTTGCGTGCCGCAACTTAAGCGAGTGAGTGCAATAACGAGGAAACGTGCGATGATACACGTATACAAGAGCCGACGCGTTTCACCGATGACGGCTTTATCGACGATCTACGAGTCATCTCGTCAGTATTATGCGGCAGCGGTGAGTGTTTTCTTTGGCTGGGCAAACAGCAAACAAAAGTTGAGTATTCGCGGAGTACGCCTACGACATGTATACTATAGAATCGGCACATTACTAGCACGAGTTTCCCTTCTTAGAAATTTACTATCCACTTTACTATCCAGAATGCTAAATCAGGCTGTTAGCATGCACGTCATTCGCGACCGGGAAGTGCCTAGACTGCGGTGATAACGCAAAGAAAATTACGCAAGGTAAATTATTGTTGTGTGGCAGAAATACTTCCGAAGTACTCGATTATTTTTTCTTCAAGAAGGTGCGACCAATGCCGAGTTGAAAGTTGCTTTCTTTGATACCACTTTCTTCGCCATCGTTACAATGGGTACACAATGGAAAAATTAACAGAGACGTTAACCGCTGTGTGCAATAGAAACTTGGAAGTATTGAGATAACAGAAAACCAAAGTGGGCGAAAAGATAATTGGTCGCAGACGGAAGCTGATCCCTCGTCTCCTGCGTAACACGTGTGGTGATTCACCAGTTATAATCTATTAATCCGTTATCAAGCATGTTGAAAAATATACAAGGCGAAAGCCTTGTAAACGACATGAAGCTCAAAAAACGGCAGTCTGTCTCGGCGTCCGCACAAACTGTTCTGAAAGAATCAAGTAACGACGTCATCTGCGACGTCACGTGACGTCGTCGCTTGGTTAAGAAAGTGAAAACTCTTCCACCTGGACCACCTCACCTCGTGCATAGAGGAATACAACATGTTCGCATTAAGCGGGCTTTCACTTGATCGTATGAGGCGGGGTTTCCGTCTCAACTAGCAGCACTCAGCGCAATTCGGGCTATTAGAAAGCACAGGAAGGACGGGTCATAATCGTAGGAAGGACGTAGACAGGACGTATCACAATCGGCGTGGGCGTGCTGCGCATGCGCGCCCCGCAACCAGCGAGCGAAACAGCCATGTCATACCCCAGATGTAGGGAAGCTCGGTGTGATGCGCTATCTGCGCCGAAAAACGACCGGAACGACGATCGACTGAAAAAAAGAAAGCGGCACAACAGAAACTTGCGCGCGGACTTACACAACCCCTTCGTAGAATTACATACATAAAATGTTTCACATTTCATACTTTTGTGCATTCAGAATCACTGATATACTCAGTGTAATCAATGAATGAGTCTGTCATCCACTTACTGTTGGCCCGTTTTCGGAAGAAGGTACTTAAGATGCGTAAATTACGTTCAGCGAACACCAATCAATTTATATAAGAAATTTAGGTTCAAAAGCGCTTGTTTGAACCAATTATCGAAGGAACATAATACAGATTTACATAAAATTTATAATACATGTTACAGACTAACAATAATTGCAGTAACGCGAATACAATGCAATAACAAATGATGGTTTATGTGAAGCTGCTTGCAATCAATGACAACGTGTTATGCAATATTTATTTTTATTTTACCGTCCATTGCAAGATTATTCCAGTCTAATAGTTCTCGAAAAGAATGAATATAAAGTGGTATGTGTAATCGACAAATGGCATTAGTGATGCATTGAGTATTTTATGGGAAATACTCTGAGGACAAGTTATCAGGACTCCGCATACGCAACCATCAAGTGTGGCGAAATCCTTTGGTGCTCTAGTAATTTTTTTTGCTTCGTTGTACTGCGGTGCTCCAGGGATTCAATGAAGTCGTAAGAACTCAAATATTGACCCAATTTAAGGCACCGATAAGTCGCTTGATAGTCAAACATAAGCCACTCACACCCTTAACCTTAACACAGCTCCTCATCAGCCCCGACAACAACATCACCGACTCTGACAGGAGATAATTTCCCAATGCGAACTCCTAACATGGAAACATCTCAACTGAGCTGGTTGGTTCACGGGCTTACACAGGTTCAAGACCAAAATCAAAGAACAACAACAAAAAGTTGCACTAAGTGACGCAAGGCAGTGTCACATCAGGGCTAGAGGGCGCCTAGCTCGTGACTGCTGTATGCTTCTACTTGTCCACCCCTCTTTCCGACCACTTACTACACTTCTATACCCATGGCTATGCTTTCACTTTTTTGTCTGTCTTTCTACCCCTTTCTCTCACATTGTGTGGTAATATTTAACGTAAAAATTTTGAGGTGAAATTTCATATACACAGCGCGTGTGCGACACAGCAATGAGGCCGATTCTAGAGGGTTCACCACACTATAGTTCACTGAAAGAGGAGGAGGAGGATTGAAAGAGGAAGGTCAGGGAGGTTAGCCAGTTCTCAGAATAGTTTACTGAAAATTGACAAGGGGAACACACGGGCGCTCAACACTGATTAGGGACCGCAGGTTGCAGCTTGTTGGGCATCAGTATTGAGTGTCAGGGTGTTGAGCGTGCCAGTGGCATGATCACTTTTAAAGATGATAGCCTTTCTTTGAATACTTGAACGCAGAAATTTTGGTCTGTCCGTCCGTCTGTGTCTGCCTGCCTGTCTGTGTCTCACAATTCGGCGAACCGGCCAAAGTTTCAGCATTTGCTCAACACCCAGCCATCTTGAACTGGTGCCTGCGTTCTTACATGTGATTATTGTCAATAAAAAAGCAAATATTACGCATATATGAGGCGCAAAAACAAACATGTAAGTATTAGGTGGCGCTTTTCTTTACTAGAAAACACATAAATACGCGATTCTGAAGACCCTAGTGTTGCTTACGCTGCGCTGAATATGCGACGCTATGCACAAAAAAAAGCGTTCTGTCGAAGATATGGTGCTGCCACCTGGCAGTGGCCCTGGGTTCTGCCCAAGCTCGTGTTTCCCGACGTCACTGCCATATGGCGTCCTTATCTCACCCAGCGCCTACTCTATTTTGTCAACGACGGCCAGAAGCGGTCGATTCAACATAGCGGGGGCCCTGTCTGAGGCAAGGTGAAACAAATGGCCACTTTGCCGGGAGAAGACTATCGTCTTTGGACGACATTTGAGGCGAAGCCCGCCGACACGCTGCCGATTGTCATCTAAAAGCCTGACCACACGTGCCCACTGCAGCGCGTGGCTTTTTGACGCGGCGTCGAGCCCTTACCACCCGGGAGAGAGAGGGTTTGCAGCTTCGCGTAGTAACGCGCCCCTCTCTCTCGCCATGGGAAAGGCCTCGGCACCGCGTCAAAAAGCCACGCATTAACGCGTTGCGGCGGTTACATGTAGTCAGGCCTTACGGCAAAAGCCAGACCTCGATCCACGCAGCTCTGCTGCAAAACAAAATAGACAACGGGAGACAAACAACAAGGGCGTCGCTGTACTAACATCTGAACAGTTAATACAGTTATTCCTTGTCTGTTCTCTTTACTCCCTTGTTTTTTTGTTGTTCTTATGCTGCTCGATCCTGTCATCTAACACCCGCCAGGGTCCGCCAGCGGCTACATAGAGCGACCTCTTCTCTGCACGGCACCACAGCCAGGTCTTCAAGGCGGATCTTCGCTTCCTTGAGGACACTGGACGACATAACCGGCTAGAAGGCACTCGCCGCGTCGTTGGTCATAGACGCCATTTCACTTGTCTCTTAAATCTTCACAATTATAATACTCTAAACCCATTCGCCAACATGCGGAGCCATGCTCCCAACTAGGGCTGCAGAAATTGCGTTTTTACCTTGCCTCAACTATATATTTCTATTCTTATCCATCTATCTATATCTATCTATCTATCTATCTATATCTAGCTATCATATAACACTTGTGTTCATCGCTAACCTGGGAGCGCAAGTGACGATGCCAGAAACTAAAATTTGAAACTAAGTAAACACATGCAGATGGAGTATTCATTCAAGACAGGCCGCCGCAATTCGAAAAAGAGAAAAAAACGTGTACCCGTTAATTTTGATTTTCGCCGCCAGGACTGCACTGCTAATGCATACTGGCGTACACCAGTCCCGTAGTGGACCTAATGCATACTAGCGTACACACGAGGTCCTGTACTTTAGGGGCAGTATTGTAATAGTGACGTGAACATGTCCGCGACAGATTAATTAAAAGACCTTTGTGTTTATTGATGACGGTAAGTAGAAAGTAATAAATGGCATGAATAGCAAATTCGCTCTGGAACAGTTAGCACGGTCCTGCTTTCGCCCTTGTTACGCGCCGCGCATGTGTTTCGTACTTTGACCCGACCGAGCTCTCAACGCGCTGTGTTTGTTTACAACGTCTGAATTCGGCGAGAAGCTCCTCCCCCCTCGCTCAAGTCGCGGGAAACGAAAAATTCAAGTCAATTCAACAGGAGAACGCTAGAACATTCCCGTAGAGCCTTCCGTCTCAAACACAACACATTCAACAGTATAGTACACACGAAGTGCAAGCAACCACACACACGCGTAGACAACTGCTTCCTTGCCACTCGCCCTACATCATAGAGCAAGCAGGAAGTCTGGAAAAAAAAGAAAAGAGAACAGTCGTACGGGTCGAAGTCTGATAACGTATGCACACGCGTTGAAAAGAATAAAAGAAAGAAGAGCATTTCGAGTAGCTCTCAGCGGTTTATCTCGAGACACACCTGCACTCCGAAGCTCACTGTGCAATGAACAAATCGAAAAATGTCAAGAATCTAAGAGATAAGACGACATTTTTCAATGCCGCATGAGGGCTTGCGTCTGTGACCGAGGTACGGAAAACTATATACGGGTTGAAAATGAATAAGAATAGGCATTACAGTTACTACACAACGTAGGTAAAGTCATGCAATAGTTGCGAACATTTAACCGTCAGCGGTAAACATTAGTCGGTGCTAGAAAATGTTAGCGAATGTAGGTAGTTAGCGTACAAACACGGTAGCGTACGATGCCTGCACGCTGGGGTGCCAATACGGTATAGGCTTGTCACTCGGCTGTGTTGAGCAACGTTTCTGGAAACGGTGTCAAGTGCCTAAGCAAGGAAAGACTATTCGATAACTATTAAATAAGTTTTACGGGACAAAACGCAAAGACCATGAAGCACGCCGTAGTGAAGGTATTCCGAAATTTTCACCATGTGGTCTTCTATACCGTGCACATAAATCTAAAGATGGAGCCTGAATTTTTTGAGGAGACGGTGAGGGGGTAATCATATTTGATGCATATTCGTGCGTGCGCTTTTAAGCTTGCGTGTACATGTACGCGTGCAAAAATTAATCGAAACATTAACATCACGAGTTTAAGTATATAACTGCTAAAATCACTTGGGTCTGCGCTCCGAACCCGCAACTTCGACACAGCGTTCTACGATTATATTTAGGTTTTCGTTTACAGTTAATTTGCATGAAGGGACCTGTCCAGCACTTCGCAGTGTCCAGTGATTCACGAAGATAGTCTCTCGTGTCGATGACGACGCAGCTGTGGCATTTAGCGCATCGCCGGCTTTATCGACCGTGCGCTGACTGGCTGACAACAGTTTTGGACACCCCCTTTCTTCGCGACAAGCCAGAAGGGAGAGCCCATCCCTGGCAGGGGACACAAATACGGGCGGGTCGGCATTTTGACGTTTATCGCAGAAACGTTGCACAATGCTGGTTATCACAGCCGCGACGGGATAGCTGGAGCAACAAGCAAAACATCCATTTGGGCTACTGGTAGCAGTTCATTGTGAAAGCAGGAAGTGGGGCGATGTAGGTAACAAGAACCGGAGAAAGAAACAGGTGCACACTCGCAACTCGAGGCTCATTGAAAAGGCAACACATCTATGCGTTGCCTTTTCAATAAACTTACCTACCCTTGCGAGTGTGCGCCTATATGCGTTGCCTTTTCAATAAACTTACACTTGCGAGCGTGCGCCTATAAGTGATGTCTTTTCAATAAACTTACAATTCTAATTGTGCGTCTGTGTTCCTTTCTCCAGTCCTTATATACGTGTTGCCTCATTCGGATACGACTGCGGAGATGCTCAGAACGTTTACTCGCCTGCGGCAACCGAATCCACCAAAGTTTCGCAAAACATCACCGGGAGTTTCAACGTTTATCAGACATCGATATGGGAGACGGATTTCATCGGACATTAGGAAAGACGGCGAACGAAGGAGGAAGAATTCAACCCAGATTTCAGCCCAGACACTTTCGCGAGGACTGCGGGCCATTCGGGTAGTACTTAAAGTTGCTCTATCTTATCGCTGCCGGCGCTTTACGAGTGCCAGGTATACATCGCTTTCATTCCGTTGTCTCGTGCGCTCAGGACCCGGCAATTTGCTCGCGCCAGTGCTCCTGTGCTTGAATTTGACGACGACAACGCTACACATTTGTTAACATTACTTCTAGGAGTAATTAAGCCACATTCCCAATTGCCTTTCTAGAACTTTCATGCAATTAAAATATATTAGAATGTTAAAACAGCTGGAAGAAATTACCATACATTATAATTTTTAAGTGTAATGAAATCACTCTGGCTTCGAGTTCAGGTGCTAAGCGGCTTTACCGTTGGTCTGTCTCGTTCCCACTATTGAAGTTTGGCACTAATATTCTGTACTTTTTTTTTGGAGTGAGTGTTTTGTGTCGAAGTGTTGAATGGCTATTCTTCAGACAAAAGTGAAAAACTAACGAGTTCTTTTCTTTAAATTACTCGGTCGATGATATTCATTACAAATTAAGTACCAGCCCCCGAAGGTAATTGTATCATTACTCATTACGTCAAGAAGTAATAACTATTTTTATTACTGCCACGTCTGATTAATTTATGGCTTCTACGTGATTTGAGCTCCTCAGGTCCTTTGAACAAACTGACTAACTGCACGTCACGCCAATAATTAAGAATCTAAACATGTTAGTACTAATATACAGCGACGATGATGATGTCAGTGAAGTTTATTCACCGCAGCGGTTAAATATAATTTGCTTTTTAAAAAAGTGACTGGCGGGAATGACCGGGATCTCGTATGCGAAAATGAACGGAAGCGGCGTGCAGTATATGCCGACTCACATTACTGACTGAAGTCCTACACAAATATCACGACTCTTGCTGTCCATTCAGAGGGTATACACCAGTACGCTCAACGCACTGTCGACTGTGCAGAAAGCCCAGTAGCGTAACACGGGTTGCCTCTGTTCGGACGTGCGTGTTACGCAACGGGCCAACACAGATATGAACAATTATAGCACTCATTGCATCCTTCAAACGCGCTTGCGGACTAGTTGGGCACACAGTGCCATAGTTGGGCATGCCGAAACAGGAAGTGAGCGAACACAATGACCCGGACAAGCGCCATGATGTCCATTCTGGAACTTGTCCCGTCCATTCCCTGTCATGCAAGTAAGTGCGAATCAAGTTGTTCGCACGCTTAGAAACAGTCCCGAAGATCGGCTCAAGATACGAGATGTGTACGCCGGCTCAACTGCGAGCATCAGCTAAACGTAAAAGCTAATGCATATACGTAATTAAAAACGTTAAGTAATAACGCTGCAGATCGGCAACAGTTATCTCAGGTTTCGGTACAGGACCCACGCTGCAGCGGGCAGGAGCTCGTCACTATATAATTCGTCGGTGAATTGTCGTTGAAAGACAAAACTTGCCTATAGCCCCGTCGCGCAGAAGCTCAGTTAAGGGGTGTGGTGATGTCAAAATGGTGTGGTGCAGTTCTCGAGTCCTCGTTTCTGTGTCGTCTCTTTCTTTGTGGTGTGTGTGTTTGCGCTGTAAAAGTACTTCTAGGACCAACAACCAATTTCTTTTTTCGACCCGCTTCTTTTCCGCCGCGACAGCAACCTTACCCTCCGTAGTGCTTGTAGCTGCAGTACTTGTTCCTAAAAGCACGTAATTATTTTCGAAGCAGTATTTTTCGATCGGAAAGGTTCTGAGCACAAATGTTCTTTTGCCAAGCAACGCTGAGAATTTAAAGCGATGCCGGTAGCTCTATAGCGACTCGTGCATGCTGTCGTTCTGCTTTCTGAGGAGTTCATTTGAGCTTACAACTGCTTTTAACATAACAAGCCGTTACAATGAGATGTGTCGTTATAGAGCTTCCCTGTATTTATACCGCGTTCCGTGAGCGCAAGGTTGTAGCACCTGTGTGGTGGATGGCTTGCCCCATCACACAAGCCAAGCCGAGTCGCTGAAAATGTCACTGCGCATATGCGCGGCCGTACTATAGTGATAGCCGTACCAAATAGTAGTACACGTCATTTCTTAGACAAGATGTAGGTAGAAAAATCACGCCGTTCCAAAATCTCAGCGACCTGAATATAGCGGGCACGGTTTCATGAGCACGCAGAGAAGTTGCTGAAGACGCGAGGATGAGCATGAGGTCATCACGTCATGCGAGGGTAGCGTCACTTAAATGCGTACTACTAATGCAGGTTCATATGCAGCTCTTTATGGAGTAATATTACGTACGTGAGAAGAGACGCCGAATCGACGAGGCTGTGTAGAAAATATATTATAACCAGCAGTTGCAGCGGGACCAGTTGTTTTCCTTTCCGCATGGCTCGTACCCAATGGAGGGGATTGGCCGTTTACGAGGTGAATTTTTCCGATACTTTACGCATTGCTTTTGCGCATTGTAGTTAATTATGATTGGAAGTGCCAATTGCGAATTAGAAAATCTCTAGTGACCAGCGACCGAGCGCAGACACGCCGTCCTCATCAGGCACACACGCGCATAGTAACCGAGAATGTGAATGTGCATGCGTAAAGCAATATCTTTTACTATAAATAAACAGAATATTTCAATACTAATAAGATCGTTGGCCGCTTAAACTAACCTACGGTCACGTGAAAAAGGCACATCGAATAATGCAAGTTTTTGTCACCAGGTGAACCCACAGGGCATTTTTCGCGATTTCGAATAAAGGAATGAAAATTGACCTCCCACTTCTCACAAGAGGAATAGGGTTGGTTCGAGTCACTATGAGGGACAATCTTTCCATCCGTGCAGTCGTCTCAGTTCACGTTTTGGGCAGTTGGTCTCTTTAAGGGATAGCCCGACTACGAGTAATTTGAGCCATTACAGATTCTTAAATGTTCGCGTTTCGTCACTTCGCCTGCGTATCCCAAAATAAAACGTCAGCTAAGATATCTCTGTAGTAAGCCCCAAGACAGCAGAACATCACTGAAGTGAAATGTGAAAAAACAAAAGAAACAATCGTCAGCCACTCACTAGTGTTGACTTCCGTTGATGCCAGGTGCGCGAGCTGCGTTAGCGATAGCAGCACAAGCGTCAGCACTGCGGTTGACACGGTCCCTCGTCGTCTGGCAGCCATCATTTGCGCGAGATTTTTCGGGCGGCGCGAAATACGAAACTCGCACAAGTCGACGGCTGGCGGCAGAGAGTGCAGCCGACGACGTCTCGGTTGTCCTTTTGTCTTCGGGCACGATCCAACACTTCCCCGTCCGTCGCAAGAGGATACTGTGTCTCGTCGCCGCACGGCCTGTCAATCAGGAACCAAAAACGAGTCGTTAACGTGGTGGTAAACAATGCGTGAGTAACCGGCTACCGGTTTTGCAAAGAGACGCGGATTTTGTTTCCTTCCCTCTGGCATGGTAGAAAAGCAAGATAGTATCGAATTACGTAACGTTTTTCCGGCACGCGCCTGTCCTGTCTGCGGAAACGGCCGCCACGCAACTTTCCCTTTCGGCCGTGAGCATATTCCTTTCTAAACGGGATACGTTCGTGGCGGGTTATTTTTCTTGCACCGTGGTCGCAGGCATAAACAACACGTCCTCAGCCGCGTTTCTGACGGATATGCCTTGTATAGTATACAGCGAGTTTGATAATTTAGCGGAAACTGCCGAAGAAGGCGACCGCGCTCACCGAATCTGCAAGAGAGCTACGGTTCCCCCATTCACAATTTGTGGGCGTTGCCCCCCGACCGCGCGGTTCCGAAAACGATGGAAACGAAAGGTCGTTGAAACTCACGGTCCGTGCTGAGGACGCCTTAGCGGTCTCGTCGACACCGCTGCGAAGCCTTGGCTCCGAGATTGCTTCGGGTTTCACTTCTGTGGGATGGACACTGAACACCAACCCGAACTATAGTCAAACTCGGTCGGTTGAAGCTGCTAATTGACGAGCGTGGGCCAAAAGCACTATGCTGAGTAACGCCCCCTCAAACCAAGGTGTTGGTTCGTAACCGTCACAGCAGTGCACGAAGGATGAATAGTAAGATGCGGTGCTCGCGTCAGGGCAACAGGTGGGGAGGACCGGCGTCTGGCGGGGCTATGAGGAATACACGGCGAGGAACGGCCACGGGTTCCCAGCAATAGACGCACGTGGGAAGACGGCAGTTCCTTGCACGGTGTAGAGAGCGAAAGCGACGGGCCTCTGTCTCGTACGCTGCTCCTCTTTCGCGCGCGACAGACAATAGGTGGATGTCGGATAACCTGAGCCCGACGCAGAGCCGATGTGTACTACGGAATGGGAAGGAGGGGGGAGTCAATGAACGCTCTCGCCGGTTTGCCCATGTGGGGGCTCTGACACACCGAAATCCACGCCAGCGGTGCTGGGATCAGAGCGCGCGGGCTTCTTTGTGACTCTCCCCTCGTTCACAACCCCCCCCCCCCCCGTTCCTTCTCTCAGTGCCATCACCGACGTCTGCATAGGTGGCGCGTCGTGCGCAGCCGCAAATCAGATTACTACCTGTCCTTTATCGCGGACTTTGGCTGGCGACGAGAGGAATGCCCTCTCCTTCTTTGCGTTGTTCACCGTCGTCGCGCCGAGCGGATCGTTTGCTTTTACGTAACTCCTTTTACTGTTTTGTTTATCTTTCTTCTTTTCTTTCTTTCTTTTCTTCCTTTTTTTTTTTTTTTGCTCCGGCTCCCTTTAGCGCTGACGTGAATGAGCCGGCCCTTGCCTCCCAAGCTAGAACGCGGCATACACCTGTCTACTCGTACGAAGAACAAACGGAAACCTTTCGCTGCCCGCGGAAACCGAACCTCACGTCGTGGGCTAGACGAGGTGCTCAAAAAACGAAGCGCATTGACCTGCCTACCCACCGGTGGCCGCGACCGTATAGAGCTTCTAAGAACGAGGTCCATCGTCGGATGGGGTTCCCGAGTCCTCTCCACTTCTTCGGTCCTCGAGTTGTCATTACCGAACTTCTAGCTCCAACATGCGAGGTTTGTTTTTGAGTTCTCTAATTTGTTGATATCTTTAAGAAAGTACACACCGGTCGCGTTTCTGACGGTGCAACTTGGCAAGCCCCCTACGAAATTTACTTGAATCACTTCACTGAGAAAGACGTTGCGAGAAACGCCAGGAGAGAATAAACACGATCTTTCATAGTATCTTCGGGGGTTGTTTAGGGCCCTTTAAGTGGCCCCTATAAAGTCGCCTTAAGCATATTTTTTAACGGAAAGGAGTAGTCCATGTCTCACCAGAGGTGGCGCAATTCCAGACGAGGCCGATGTTCAGGCGAAGACGGAGGCTTGGACGCGGTGAGAGGTCCTCGGACCAGGAAAGTCTCTGGAGCCACGTGCCGTTTCCACGGGAGGACCTGTCTTCTAAAAGGGCGGCGACGAGCTGCCTCCTTATGCACCTTCATTTATGCGCGCCTTGCCCACTCTCCCTCATCACGGCATCGAAAGTAGAGAAAGGAGGAGAGCGAACTTGAAAGAGAAGCAACGAAGAGAGAAAGGGAGTTATTGGAGATGTGAGGTGACGAAGGGGGGATGTTGTTGCGGCATCAGGAACAAAGAAACGGTGGGGAGGGGATTTACGAAGACTTCAGTAGTTTCGGTATGTGCAGCGTGGGCATGGAAGTTGAGTCATGCTCCCGCGGAGCTTACAGAAGATAGAGCCAATGTTGCCCCCTTCTCACCCGAGCGGGCAGGCAACTGATAATGAGCGCAATGGGTGACCACTAAAATGGGCAATCGCAGGGAACTGTGGTAATACGACAGCTTCCGATTGGACGCTCCACACGGGTCAGCAGCGGCACGCGTGCATTTTTGTACTGCTCCGTTGAAAAAAAAGCACCTCTGCGTGCAATGCCAGTACTTTAATGTAGTTTTTTTTTTTGCGAACCATAACTATGACCATGACAAGCTACGAAATCCATGTACGGTTAGGAAAATTTTTATCGCACTAAAATGATGTGCAATGCTTTTATGCTGCTCGGGGGTACTGTCAGTTTGGCTAGCAGATCAGCCGATACAGAATACTGTTTTCATTGTATGATACGTAACTGCAGATAAAAAGTCACCATTTTAAGGATCTCACTGGATAGGGATGACTGTAGCAGTGTGCTAAGAGTTCATTTCGGGATCACTGCTTCAGCCGACATCGTAAGTCGATCGGCATGAAGTGCAGCACTTGTTGAGCGCGTTGAGTTTTTTTTTTTTTTCTAGCCTTCAGCGCGCTATAAGATGCATTTCTTAGTTGAATCTAGATGCTTATTTGAACGCTCATCTTGGTCAAGCTGCGTGGCACGGCGGCACATAAACAATACAGTTAGACATAGACGGCGCCGAATAATCGAAACCCTGCGCTTGTTTAACGCACTTCCTGTGGGTGCCGTCCTGGCGCACATTTTGACCAAGATAAACGCAAATGAACTCGTCCAGCACTTCGTGTAAACTTACTCGAGTGAAGCTTTCATGTTTTTTTTTTTTTTTTGTGGTTGTTGTTGTCATATATATGGGTGCAATGGCCGGCGCTAATCTCGTATGACCCGTTCCCATAATATCTTTGCTAGGCGCGCCTGTGCGACAATTTATTTCGCAATATATTATTCGCTATAAATTCATGCGTAAGATTTGTGTGTGTGTGTGTGTGTGTGGAATACACAGGTACCTGTGATAAAATGGTTTTAACCCACTCTGGCTTCAAAGCTCCGTACTCCAAGGCTACCTGTCGCTGTGGCTTTCTTCACAGCCACGGCCCCGATCGTTTTTCTGTCTTCATTACATAGGAATTGATACCTGAGTTTGCCTTGGAAGCTCGAGTTGTGGCAGCCAACGGCTCAACAACCGACCATGGTTTATCAGGACGAAGATAAACGGCCGACCACGCGCGCGAATCCTGAATAATCTGAGGCTTGTGGCGAAGCGGTTTGCCGTCGTCTACTCTTTTCGAGCCGGTAGCCGACGGTACATCCCACAATCCCTCTCTCTTTTACCGGTCACCTATTCGATCGTCCCGGCTTGGGAGATGCCCTGTACACCTGGCGCCCAGCCGAGTGTCCTTGAGGACCCCTTTTTGGGTAACGAAGTTTCACCGTCACCACCACCGTGAGCATGGTTAAAGGGGGAAAAAAATCACAGCGTATCCACGAAGTGAATGATGGCGAGTGGGCGAAGCTCCGGGGGATGTTCAATCCCGTACATTCATTCATTTGTTGTGTCTTTCTTTCTCTCTGTCCTTCTTTCTTTCATAACAAGGTGCACTTCATGACCATGAAAGAGAGAGGGCCAAGAGCCAGCGCGTTTTATAGCTCTTGGAGCACCGCAGCGAAGGAAACAACGTGCCACGAGCGCACTAGCGATCATCGTTCTCCTCTCCTAGCTATACAATCGACAAGCTCGCGGCCGGTTCTTCCAGCGCCTGCAAGCCAAGACAACGGACATCGGAGGGACAAGGCTCGACCCTATAAAGTGCTTTGCCCCTAAAAAAACATTTCGTAGTCACGCGCCTGTAATACTGAACAATTGCTCCTTTTGAAGAGCTTATGCTTTATAGCCATGCTAGAAAATAAACACGTTCTTTCATAGTATCTTTGGAGGTTTCTTATTGGCCTTTAAGTGCCTCGTGCAAAGCTGTAAAAACACTCCAGCTATGATAGCTGGAGTGTTTTTAACCGATGAATGAATGAACTCAGGATTGACTTTTGATTTCCAGGGACTCTACAACGATAATCTAAATCTACAAGCACGAGAATGTTTCTGCGTACGTCCCCCTGAAGCGAAGTATGGGAGGAGGAGGTAAGTTTATTTACAGAAAGGCAGAGAGGTCGGCCTGAGCGATAGCTTGCTCTAGCCTGCTACTCTACACTGGGGGAAGGGGGAAAAGAAAGATTAATGGATGACGATGGTGAGATAGAGAGGTGAGTATGTAGTGCTCTTTCTAGCGGGGACACATTTTATAGCCGCGCACATAGTCCAGTTGTTGAAGCGAAATATGGTCATGCTGGAGGGGAATCTAATTCGTGTTTTTGATCACAGCCTTTCGCCGCTATGCCATCACCGTGGGCGGAAAGGAAGTTATACTGAATCCGATGTGCGAATAAATGTTTCTCTCGAATATTCGTACTCAGTAAATTTCCCTGTGCGAAGAGCCTTATGTGCGTTTGATGCTTAAGTTCGAGTATCTGCTTAATACACGCATAAGGAACAATTTTAAAATGTACTTGATGTAATTAGTTTCTTTAACAATCGTGTTGCTTGAGTTGTTTGGTTTTCAGAAGAATGTCCTCCTGGGCTCATAACGCATCCGGAGAAACGGGACGTATTCTCAGATATTGTCGTTTATTCTAAGTCTCTAGAATGAATTTTTCAGCCTTTCTTACGTTCGAAGCGCCAACATTATCCGCATTTTGGAAAATCCGCGATTTTCTATGAACGGAGCTTGAAGCGCTCCCTCCAGAATGACTGCACCAGGCCCGTAGCAAGGAAGGAGCATTATCCAGCGAGGCGGGTGCACTCATCGTGGGTAAAACTCCCCCTCCGTTCGAATTTCGGGAGGCGATGGGGACGTCGTGCCCTTAGGGCACCCCCCTGTCTACAGGCTTGCCGTTCACGACCAGATTCTGAAACCACGCGTGCCTGTTGCGCACAACACAGATCTGGTCAATTTTCCGTATCGTCGTGGCAACATTGCAAGGACAAATCACGAGATTGTTGCTTCAAGGACGCATTATGTAAATATAACACAGGTTGTAGAGTGATATCATTGGCACTGTGTAGAAAAAGTCGCGTTTGTGGTCAGCAGCATCCCCAACACTCGGGTACTGGAGCTCACTCGTCGCGCGCATCTGGTAACTGGCACCTTCCTAGACGGTGCTCTGCTCTGACTAGCTGTGTTGTAATTGTAGAATCGGCACAGAAACGTACCGCAAATAAGTATCTTCTAAATTAGGGGAGGTTCTGGATGGAGTAAAGAGACGCAGACGCGTCCTCCTTTTGGTGGGCGAGGATGAGCATCAGGAGAGGGCGCGCTGACACGTGTCAATACCTGCGTGTGGTTAGGACTTGAGGAAACGCCAAGTGTGCGCCATACTTTTACCCGGTCAGACCTGTCAGACGATCGTTGTAGTACATGACAATAGCCAAGAAAGTTTTTCATCATAATGGAAGTCGAGGATTTCTGGTGTTCCTACCCTGCAACCGTTTGCTTCTCAGCCTTATCCCTGGCTCTCCGGGGATCAGTCTGTTGTGAGGAGCACTTTATCACTTGGTCTTCACTTATGCATCGGTTGCGAGTGCTTATTTCTTTCGCACTCGATCGATTCAAGTGGGAGGAGATGGGTTGTGGGGGGGGGGGGGGGGGG